TGCGAGAAAATGTGAACGTAAATATGAGTTTCTTTGTGCAATGGTTAGCATTGTTGACGATTACATAGCTACACTGTAAAAGAAAATGGTCTTTTACGAAATTTGAAAAGGCTATTCACATGGATCTAAACTGGAAACCTTTTTTCGGTTTCTTATGACCACTGCTTGAATAATATTAGCCTTACTTAATTAGCCCTATATCTTTATTTCTATACGTCGATTGTTATTGGTATATTTAATCCTTTATAACTAACTATAGTCCCTTATTCCTATACTGAATCCCTTGTAAGAATACAAAATGCTTTTATATCATTTAGAACCGTCAGAATGCCTCTACAAATCATACAGAAGTATTTATATTACTAATCCATACAGAATTTCATAAGAACGATGTGCAACTTGTTTTTTATCAACAAAAGGCACGATGGTTTCTTGTGAAATGCACAAAACTTGTTGCTATGGTTATAAACCCACAAATGCTGTAGCATGAAAGACATTAAAAACGTTTGATATAAAAAATCCGAGACCTTCAATGTTCAGAAATAAGCCTATGTTTTTCGAGTGTATGACAATGTTCCAAAAATTATTCATTTCTGTAAGTGCAACGACATCTTCCTATCTTTCAGAAACGAGTCAGAAAACTCGTGTGATAAGCGCTACTTGTGTACATGCCTACCTGTAAATTGTTTCTGATTGTAGAAGTCAAATTATATGCACTCCTCAATCAACTTACGTTCGAAAGAAACTATTTGGTTTTCATATCTCTCGGAAGTAATGTGATAGTTCCCACACAAACGCTATGCACATAATTGTGCTTTACAAACTCGAAAAATAGAAGTAAGATGTTTGCTTTCGACAACTACTATTTTGTCGAAACAAAAAATTAAATTCGCGTCCTTGTTTGCTTTGTATTTTATGTTAGATGTTGTCTATAAGTAAAATAAAAAAATCTTTTCTACATAGAATGAAAAAAGGTAAGTGTCATTATTGCACGCTATTTATTTATTCAACCCACGTTGTGTAGGCAAAGTGTATTGATGGCAACGAACAAATGTGTTGCTTTCAGTTTCTATTGATTCTAGAAGGCCACATTCTTTCATTCTATTCAACCATCATTTACAAGCAACTACTCTTGAGTAGAAATGAATTGTTCTTATTCATACTTTAACTAGATGTTTCAAAGAACGAAATTTTTTTAATACATTGAGTAGAAAACTATTCTCGGTTAGTATGATTATTGTGTGATGCTAGCTTGTCTTTAAAATATGATAAAACTATTGTATTGATAAAAAACTGCATATAATCAATATCTTTCATGAAACACAAACTAAAAAGATTGATGAAGTGTCGAGGGAGACTTTTGAATCCTCACCTAGTTAGAGTCGTGGCAGACACCTTAATGGTGCCACATCCTAGACTTAGACACAGATATACTTGAAAATGGAATCGATTATAAATTTATACGAATTTCAATCTAGGAAATATTGTTCATAAGGATTTTCTTACTTTTCCAGCTGTTTGAATTCATGTCAAGCTAAAATTGATATTTTTAAGCAAACTTTTGACCAAGTTACAGTTGACAAGAAACTTTAATTATATATTATTAATACTTCAATAATGGGCGGCTGTACTCTGTGTTGGAGCATCTTGCAATCAGTGATGGAATCATTTTGAAACAAAAACGGAACAAGGAAATCGCATATGGCAGAAAGCTGTGTTGATTTTGACTACAGCTTGTTGTTCCTCATATCATTGATGCGTTAATTTTTCAATATTTATCGATAGTATAAGTAGAATGATAGAGACAATGTGTAACGTAATGAGACTGATAGTGTGACCTGTATATGGAATTGGTGCTGATACGGATTTAGTGCGGATCAATCTGTTTACAGACTGGTGTATTCATTGGCTACTACTATACGATATTCTTTTTCTGGTTTCGAACGGTCACAATCTATCAATCAGATCGGTACATCGACCAGCTCGATATTAACTGTTGTCGTCAAACAACCAGATGGATTCTATTTATCATATAAGTACTAGAGCAGCGAATCGAATTTTCAAGTTCGATGTTGTTAATGAATATTGACACAAAAAGCTATGGCTTCTCAAAATATGTTTCTTTGTGGAAATAAGCGTTAAAAAAATTTATTCTTCTTCTCATGTGTCGTGTAGCTTAAGGATACAAGGTTAAGGGTATTTGTCTAAGGTTACAGGTATGGGGTATATGTATAAGTGAGCACAAGTTTACTGATGGCTATCATTTCACTTTATTACGGTCGTGAACGTTAATGTTTACATCTATATTTGTCAAAAGTGAAACCGT